CATATTGGGGTATAATTTAAATGCGAGAGACTCACGTGTGCTCATTGCGAACCTGAGGGTTTCCTTTTCGACAGTGATTTCCAGTGGGCGATATTGCTTCGTGGTGAAGAAGAAACTATTCAATTATGCACAGAAGGCCATGCAGGATGACCAGTGAGGCTCTGTGATGTTTTAAAAGCTAGTACTAAAAGCTAATTAAAATCTTCTCTGGTGATAAAGGGAGACTTGGGAGGAGTGTTGCCACGATTGTTTTCCCTAAGAATTTAATTTACAGCCAATTTTTCCTATCTGAATGTTACTTTCAAATGCACCCAGTGATAAGAAGCAACATCTGTTTTCTGTTCAATAGTACAAGGAGGCTCTGCATGGGGCTGAGTGTACACAGCCTATGTGAAGCCATTGTTATTCTCATTTCTTTTTTGTCCCCATGCCTGGTCCATTTGCCATATACCATCCGGCAAACAGCTGACACATCCCAGCTATTATGGACCCAGGCCTAATTGCCAGCAAAGTCTTTAAGCTCTTCCACGTTGGCCTCGTAGGAGGAATGGGAGGCCTATATAAATGGTGCTGCTCCCGACCACCACTCTCATTTTGCCTGTGTGGAGTTTGCAGGCTGTTGTGCCGGAGGGTTTGCGGATGCTAAAAATATAGTTGGAGCCCAGTGCCAGCGATTTGCTCTCTGGCTCTCCTCCTGCTCCCCCTGCCTGGCCAGGAATGTTTCTGTTTTCTGTGGTAATAAAGCTTGGGATTATTTAGATGGTAAACATATTCCAGAGTATATTATTTTTGCTGGGGAGCGGCAGTACGGCTGCCTGGAAAGAAGAAATAATTTGGGGGATGTATTCCCCAGCCTTTTCCTGCAGGTTTGGGCCTGGGTACCACTCTCACTGGAAGTGTGGGAACCTGGCGTTTCTCCCCCATCTCAGATTTTTAATTTGTTAATTTTTTTGGTCCCACAGCCCTCGTGGAACAGAGACCACGATGACACGGCATCGACGCGCTCTGGGGGAACTCCCGGACCCTCCAGCGGAGGACACACATCGCACAGCGGGGACAACAGCAGTGAGCAAGGTAGGAACAGAGCCCTCACGCTTTCTTAGCTGGCAAGATGTGCTCAAGGGACTGGTTACTCCCTTTCTGATGTTGAAATGTGCTCTGGTACCAGGGGTTTTGTGCTGAGAAAGGTCTATCTTCCTTTTTTTTTTTTTTTTTTTTTGACACTTTTTTTCTCCATCTCCTCCTAGTAAAGGGATTGGTATCTTTATTTCTTCGATCCTGCCAGCAGGCACACTTTAGAGCAACATATGTACCAAATTTGCAGTATGCTTAATAAAAATAAGAATTGAGAAGGGTTTGATTTTTTTTTTCTTTCATTCAAATGGGTTAAAAAATGAAATCTTCAAAACCAAATGTAATTAAGATTGTAGAAATGCACGCTAATGTTTCAAAGATGCCATCAAAACTTCACTGCATATAAAGAAGAGAGATGTTAGCTGGCCCATTTGACAAAATCCTGAGCAATGCTTTTATTTACATTTTTTACTCCTTTCCAATTTATTTGAATGCTAAAACATTCTGTTTGAGTGTCAGGCCAGAGCAGCTGATTTAGCAGGGCGAGTGTGGAATGAGCTTGGTGCAAGGGAAGTGGGACATATACAAATAATCAGTGCTGCCTCAGAAACACTGAAGTCTAAAAAACTGAATTTCTGGATTTTTTTTCCTGAGAAGCTGTTTGAATGCTTCATACTTTTTCTGAACAGACCAACTGCAGTGGATTTCGTGTTAATTTAATGCAATTAAAATTTAAAAAGGATCCTTAATCTGAATATAAAAGAGAGTGCTTTATTGAAGTTGACTCTGAACTCACAATAGGTATATACTTTTAAATCTGGTTTTATGATCATGTTTCATTCAAGTGCTGTTAGACAACAAAGGAATTGCGTTTCCAAAAAAAGGTTGAGCAGTACTGATTAGCATTGCAAAGTCTGCATTTAACAAGATTAGTTTTTAAACTAAACCAGTATATTTTAATTTTTTATATGCATGGACCTAACGTACATCTCTTTATAGAATTTTAAGTATTTGAGACTCGTTATTGTTTAAAGAAAAGTTGCTGACTTCATCGCAAGTACAGCCTAGTAAAAATGGGGCCTGGAATAGTAAACTGTTGCAGAGCTGAGGCAGAAACTGGTAACCTTCTGACCTCTGACTTTTACTGGAAAATGATATGCAACATAAATTCAGGGGGCCTTTTTTCTTTCAAGTATGTATATGTATATATTCTAGTGGTGCTGTTCACAAGGCTGTAGTTGAAGTGGTGTCAATGTATTCATTAGAGCCCCTTGGTTTCGGAGCAAACTTTAAATCCGTGGCGTTTTTTTAAGGGTGAAAAAGCTGCTGCAGAAAACAGGCTTTGAACTAAAACATGGTGTTTTGAGAGGGTTTTTGTACTCGGATAGGGCTGTTCCTTTTATTAGACGGATGTGCATGTGTTTATGTGGATATGTGCGTGGACTAAACAGCTGTGGGGAGGCTTGCCAGCATGCTCCTAGACTGCTTTGGAAATTGAGATACTCAGTTCCTGGTGTACTTTTAAAGGTTTTGTCAGGCTTAATTTTCTCCTAAATGTAACATTTTAGTAGTCTGGAGTGCCGGTCATATCTGATGTCTTATCATCGCCATCCCGTCAGCTCCTAGCAAGGTGCATGCTGTAAACTCAGTCAGGAAGGGTTTTGTAAAGTGAGTTTCCAGCCTGAGTGCTGCTAAATATCTGCAGAAGGACTTGTCAGTGATGCTTTATCCAGTTCTGGAACTTTTACCCAAATCCCAGTGGTTTATTGAGGCTGGAATTGCTACTAGTGCTTGATGTGTTTTGTGAAGAAGGCTCATTGCATTCAAACTTTAGAGAAGAGTAAGAAGAAAAAAGGGAGGGAATTTGCTAACTGGAACTCTCAGGTCAAATTTGGGAGAGGTGTTTTGGAAAGGAGACCTTGTCCAGAAGGTCTCTGTTACTAAGACTTGCCTTCAGGCCACTTGCCACCTGTGGAAATGGCATTGTTTTTGAGGAACAGGAATGTGGGAAGGGTAGCAGTGGTTTTGCTGAGCCTTGCTTTATGTCATGTTTATGTGAAATGCTCTGATGGTTGAGACTATAGGGGAATCTCATTTGTTTAAGTACACCATAGCTGTATGTACACCTTCTGTAAAAAAAGCCAACAAACAAAGCGTCACTTTTAGCCTTTCCCTCTGGGGAAGAAGTCAAAAAATACGACCCTGAAGGACCAAAATGGAAGAGACGAAAAAGATCGCAAATATCCTGCCTGTCCCCAACTGCCTTAAATTTGCAAATGCTGTGATTTGATGGCTTTTCTTCTGTGCCCTGATGTTAGGAGTGCAACACCGTGGTTAAACTCCTGTATTTACCTCTGCTGGGCGCTTTTCTTGGCAGCAGAAGGAGCCAGTGTGGCACTGCCACAGCGACCAGGTGCTGTGGAGGGGTGGCAGCGAAAGGCTGGGGACCCCAGCTTGTGCTTGAGAGCATAGGAGTTAACTCGAGATGCATGTGTTGCGTGACATATATTCAGTATATTATGGGCTTCCCTATTTTTAGGAGTTTGTAAAAGTTCCTTTTGGTTCCATCTGTCATGAGCACGTTTGCCATTTAAAAAAAAAAAAACAAAAAAAAAAACAAAAAAAAAAAAAGGCAAATCTGATCACCAGAAATAAAGCCCTCTAAAACTGTCTGGTCTTAGGTTGTTCTCACAGCCTACTTCCCTAGTTGGGATAGGTAAAAGCACCTTCTGGACCAGGTTTCCAACCTGGCTGTAAGTATCACAAGGGTGAACGTGTGAGCTTTGCGTTTTCAGAGAGGCACACAGGTTGGAAAGCTTAAGCCCTTTAGCAAGACTTTTCTCTCTTAGTCTTTAACCCAGACTATGTTAAGGTCTATTTCTGGACTTTTTGGTGATTTTTCTTCTTCACCGTGCTCATCACTACAAATCCTTACAAACTGTATTTTTAACCTATTTATGTCATGATACACAGCACACTTTGAATGATTGCCTTTGAAAGCAGGAGAGATGCTCTTTCCTGTAAACATTTTGAAGTCTTTTTTAACATGTAAATTTATTTACTTAGTAAATAGTAATGACTCCCAGCTGCTTCGATCTATTGCAGAAATCCATATTTAACTGCTAGGAAGCTGTTCTGGGGTCTCGTGCCACTGAACAGCAGGGTATGTTATTGCATAGCACGTTGATACAACCTCTTCTAAAGGCCTGGTATTGTGTCATCATAGGGGATAGTTATAGTACAGGAATGCAGAATAATATTATGAAAAAGTTTTCCCATTGCTCTGAACTTAACGGGAAGGGCCTTCGAAGGTCTGCCTCCAAATGGTGCAAAGAGATCTGACTTTATGCAGTGGAGAAATAACTTGCTAAATCCTATTAAAAGAGGAGAAGCAAATTCTTATGTACAGGCAGGTGAAGCTGAGTTCATGGCAGCACTATTTTATCCAATTGCATCTTCTAACTTGAAAAGATTCCTGTTTGGTGTATTGAGAAATCTATTTTGTCTGTTTTTCAAACAGTGACACCAGGAAAATGCTAACAAAGCCCTGGTACAGTCACTTTTAATCCAGAGCGTAGCTCTTTATTTCCCATGTTTAGCTCTCCTACATGACTTAAAAGAAAAAGCAAAATAATCCATCAGTGTCACCTATTTGTGCGTATTGTTTCTTTCCCATTTTCTTTTTTTTGTCCAGCCTCAACCTGGGCTCAAAACATTTTTTTAACCTCCAAATAATCGTTACTCCTTCAAGCCAGGAGTAGAAAGCAGCGATATTTCTTATAAAAATGTATCAATGGCTGCAATGTTGGGTTTGAGTTGTTGGTTTGTGGTTTTTTTGGGGGTTTTTTTGCAGGCTTTTGTAGGAGTTCGAGCAACCTATAGGCAAAAAGGCAATCGGGTTTATTATTGCTGGGAATCTCCAGGCGGTTGTTTGGAGGCTGCAAAGGCAGGCGGCAGAGCCGGGGAGAGAAGGGCCACATTATGTTCCAGATGACTGAGCAAGGATTTATATACCAGCTCTCCTTTTTTTTTTTTTTTTTTTTTTTTTTTTCCTCCCCTTTTTTTTTTTTTTTTTTTTTTTTTTTTTTTTAGCATGGGAGAAGAAAAGTAATAAGAGCGGGGAGGCATTTGAAGCGGTCAGATGGCTGATGACTAATGGGATAGGTGGGCAGGAGCCCGCGGATTGGGTGTCTTAATGAGCACATTTCGCACCGAGTTTGGGCTGCAGTTCCCCTTCACCTTTGGCCTTTATTGACCGAACTGACACTTCATTTTTCACATACTTCCAATTATGGCTGAGCTTAAGTGTTGCCCTGCCTCCTTTCTTTCTTGCCTATGGACGGCTTGAGAGTGGCTGAGGCCACGGAAGATATTTTAATTTGAAAAACTACCATAGCAAGGCAGGTTTAGGGTGTAACCTGAAACTGCTGTCACTTGGCAGTTTCTCCGATGAAAACAAAAGTTTTAATGTTTCTTGTTTAGCGCTTCTCCCCCTCCCCCCCCCTCCCCCCCGACCCCCACTCCTCCGTGGTGAGGTGGGCAATTGCTTTGGGAGCCAATGGGTTGGTGACGGGTGTTTTTCTGGGGATAAATCCTTTCTGGCAATACAGGTGTCATGGGTGGGAGTCACCCAAGTAAGGAAGCAATCCCAAGTAAAAAGAAATGTCGTGCTTGAACGATGGCTCCTTGCTCCCTCCTAGCACGGCATCTTCCCAAATGGCTTCATGTGGTGTGATGCCCTGCAATGTCCTTTGCCAGACCGTCTCCATAAGGAAAAGCAAAACATTATTGTGCTTGCACTTCTCAAGCCTTAGACCAGTTTGAGTTTGTTGTTTTGGTAATATTTAATGCATGAATGCAGAGTTGAGCATGGCCTGGCTGTGAAGCTTTGAGAACTGGCTGAAAATGATGGTGGGAGAGGCAGGTAGGATGAGGAGATGGACGAATCTTGCAGTCACCTCTTCTCTGTACAGGGAGAACCATGATATATCTCCCACTGCTCCAGCCTGTGTGCATTTCCACGTTGGCTTTTACATGCAGAATCCTTCCAGGGCGGAAATGTCTGTTTGCTTTTGCAGGGCTTAGGGGGTTTCAGAGCATGCGGTTTTCCTACCAAATGTGAATTCTGTCGGAAATAGTTGGAATAAGTTGCGCTCGCATGGGGTGGGTGGGTTTAAGAACAAAATAGCTGCTGTTAGACCTTCACTTCCCAGCAGCACCACTGGATTTTGCAGCGTAGTTTCCACTACCGGCTCTGTCACTTGAAGTTTGGGTGAGTAATGAGTGGACATGTCACCTGAGTGCCGGTGGTGATTGCTTTACATTTAAATACATGGGGACTATATCGACAATTATTTACATCCAAACAGTGGCCCCTAAACCACAGAAGTATTTATCTCAAAAAAAAAAAAAAAAAAAAAAAAAAAAGTATGAAGTATTACCTATTTTATTATGTAGCCCTCTGGCATAGTAATGGCATGGCATATTTTTACTATAATATGGTAATAAAAGAATATGTAAAAGGCAGACAAAGGTTCTGTCTTTTCACTAAGGTGACCCCTGTTACCAAGTAACTGCTTTACTTATGAGCTTATTAAAAACTCAAAAAAAAATGAGCTTTTCATACTTCACAGGCATTGATGTGAAAATGAGCTGTCCTGCGAGTAGTTTTCTTGATCATTTTTAGAACAATTGATTAGCCAAAGAGCCGCTGTCATTAGTTGACATTGACTGATAGCAATTTGTCACAAGCTCCGAAGGTCAGCCAGGCAGTGGAAGCTTCGGCTTGTCTTTGATTGACCTTTTCTGATGCCATTATCATGCGATCGGTTAGACTGGATGTGACCCTCGATTAGAAAAGACAGGGCATTAGTCAACAGGGGCTGCTCCCTGTGTTTTTTCTGGTGCTTTATGTATTGTGAATCCCGAATTAAGCGTAATAGGCTTGTTTGAAAACGGAGCAGTATCAGTTTTCTTGCTGAGGCTCTGCCATCCCCTTTTCTTTTCTTGCTTTTCCATCAAGCGGGCAGTGCTCAGTTTGCTTTAAATCAACGTGAGCACCTGTACCCTCTTCCTTTGATGTGAGATACGAGGTTCAAACCAGGCCCATATTTATCTGAAACTCTGCGTGTAGGTGTGTATTCTTCAGCAGCACCAGCATTAATTATTTTTATCTCCCCAGAATCATGTTTTATTTTTTAACAGTGATTGAATAGTTGAGGATTATGCTCATAACAACATGATGTCAATTTATCATTCTGCTCTAAAGCCGGGGGGCGTGAAACTGGTTTTTTCCTCCTTCTGGTTTAGGTTTTTGGTTGTTATTTTTTTTTTTTTTTTTTTTTTTTTGTCTCATCAGCCTGATTTGGCTGATAAAGTTAGATTTTGACCGCATTAAGTCTCTCTAGGCAGGGTTACACTTCCAGTATGGTAAAAGGGAGTGACTCCTCTCTTTTTAGTGGGTGTCTGTCGTGCTTTAAGCATTAATCTATTCCCAGTGTCAGTATTTACTTCAATTGCTTGCATTAGCTTAAATGTCTGTTATTAACAGGCATTTTTGTTTTGGCAAAGCTAACTTAAAATTCTTATAAATGTTGCTTGTTTTGCCTAAATCATGGGTAACATCATCGTAAATGAATTTTTTTTTTCCTTGTAAAAAAACCTTCCTTCCTCCCTCCCATTTGCCTTTCAGGGGAAACCTGAATTTCTCTGTCTAAGCACCAACTTGTTTTTCAGGTCAGCCCCCAGAGATAATAAGCAGTTCAAAACCAGCACAACCGTTTCAGCACGGTTTAATGCGACTTCCAGTCTTTGCTTAGGAAAAGCTTCCAGCTGGGAGGGGAGCAGAGAGGCAATCACGTCAGGAGGCAGATCCTTCAGGCTGAAGCTACTGCTGTCGCTGGCAAGAGCAGAAGGAGGGAAAAAAGACTTTGGAAACTGTTTACCTTTAAAGTGGCTGTGGAAATACAAATATTCCTGACTTCTCGGCCTATCTGTAATCAAGCAGCAAAAGCCATGTGCTGGAGTCCTTTTACCCCCCCCCCCCCCTTTTTTTTTTTCTATTTTCTTGGCAAGTTTTTCTAAACTTAGAAATGTCTAGCCCATTAAACATCTGTGTGGCTGCGCAAGCTGATGTATACATAGATGTGTATTTAAGAACATGATCCTGACCCTGGAATGAACATCCCATCAGTGGTGCAGGACTTTTGCAACCCCCAAAGTGTGTCTGCACAAAACCAGGTGTCTTACTGAGGTAAGACACAGGATCTTGGATATGCTGAGCAGGGAACAGTGGTGGAAAATGTCACGTTGCTAAATTGCATCTTGGGCTGTTACTGAAGGGCATCTTTCTTTCCTCCTCGGATGGGGTAGAGAGAGGTTTGGTTGTAAGAAGTAGTAGAAATAGGTTTAAGGTTTTTAGTGTCCAAGATGCCCCGTTTTAGCAATACCTAAGTCGTGTGTTTTCAGGATTGCTGATATGATTTAATTTAGAAACACAGTTACTTTATTCTGATGTGTGCTTTTCTGTCCTATACATCCTGTATGATTTTCACTTACATTGTGGTGGCTTAAAGCCAATGAGCTTCCCCTATGACCCATATTAAAGACCATTTTAATATTCCCATCCTAAGGGCACCAGCTCTATCCCCATTTACCTCCAAGGTCCTGGTGGTTTTAGCTGAGTCCTTTGCTATCTGCTGCAGGCAGAGTGAGACTTTAAGATGTATGTCATTGACCTCTTTAAACTGGAAGATAACAAACCAAAACTTGTGATCTTGAGATTTTCTTTTGAGAAACATTTTATCACAAGGAGTATAAACCGATAAACATGCCGTGTTTCTGGATTGGTGATGCAATAGGATGTGCCATTGGGCTGCTTGGCACAAAGCATTTTCCTATCTCTCTCATTAAATGCTGTGAGGGGAAAACAAAAACATGGCTAAGGTTGGAAGAGAAGTCTTTAAAATTAGTTGTGTATGGAGAAAATGGGTGCTTGTCCCATAACACAAGAAGTAAGGGTGGACGTTCATGGCACATGAGCTTTTCGGAGTGTTAGTAGGTTTAAAACAAACCAAAATGTTTTATGTGTTGGGTTAAACTTATTGCTACAGTGTGCTGAGGAGGTCAGCAGGGGACAAAAAGAGATTAGACCAATTCATGGAAAAATAGGTCCTTCTGTGGCTATTAAAAACCCTGGTCCAGATGCAACCACTGGCTCAGGAAGCTGCCCAAGTGCTGATTGTCAGAGCTGTGGCACAGCTGCATCTGTGTACCCCCCCTTTCTGCAGGGTTTTCCTAAACACCCATTATTGTTCATGGGAGACACTGACACCGGATCGAGTTACTTGGACACGTCTCCTCTAGTTTCTGTGTTAAAATAATTTTTTTATAATTCAATTCAGGAACTAAGATGCTGATTTTTTTTTTTTATTTCTCCTTTTTTGATGGCTATTGCTAATGCTTTTGTTGGGAAGAAAGTAGACATAAGCTTGTATTTTTTTGCCCTTATTACCCCAGTGGTGGGAATGGTTTGACGCTATTCATTCAAATTTGACAGGTGATTGCTTCTGTAAATGAATGCACTCAAATCATAATTGTTGCAACAGAATTGTTTGATTACCTGGCAGTAGCCTCTTTCCTCTGATAGCTTTTGGATCACCTGTTTGCTGAGAGCATTTGACAGTCCTCATGTTTATTACCCAATTGAATGTCAGTAGCAATTGCAGCTAAAGATAAACGAAAATGCAAGTACTTGTTGACCTTGACTTTTTTCCACAAGATATTGGACTTGATGGCTCTATTGCTGTTCAACTGATAAGAGTTATAAACAGTAGTTGAAGGAAAATGTTTTATTCCCAGAGGAAAATACCACACTGCTGTGGGAAATGGCATCTGACTAGCACTCTTTGCCAAATTTACTTGGTTC